TCTGTAACCAACCTCCACAGGCCCAGAAGAAGCTACAGAGAAGTATTCCTTATATCCAACAGCTATGAGGGCTGTGGAGAAGCACTCTCCTCTTGAGCAGTGTTACTCTCCTGAGCCCAGAAACCGGACCCATGTTCTGCCTTATCCTGTTTTTCATGGGTGCTATCTCCTTGGCCCCTACCTCTAGCTGTGTACTACTGAAACTGCAGCTGCTGCTCTTACCCCAAGGTCTGCTTTTAGAGCAGCAAAGCTGTAGACGTCCAGTTGCAAGGACAGTTGCGTCAGTGTAAGCTGCAGCCTGATTGCTGGCCTTGTGCCACAGAAAGTGATCTCATCCTTGGGGGACTCCTAGGAGACAGGAAAAACACCATCAAAAGAGTTGTGGGTCCTGGGGTGGCGGGAGAACCATGGATGTTTTAGTAGTGGGTGTTAATTGCAGGAACTTTCCGCTACATGATAGGATCACGCCGTGTGGAAATGATCCCTGCACACACGTGGCTGAGCAAGTGCATGGGATACCTCCACATGGTTCCAAGCACTGGGTTTCTTTCCCATGTTAAAACCGTGTCTTGAAGCTGCTGGAGTGCGTTCACCTCAGTGTTTACAGTGAGGTTTCTTGCTTTCATGCCCACACCATCACCTTTCCCCTGCTAAAGGAGCCAATAGCTCAGCTGATTTTCTTTTAACTCAGGCCTCGGGGGCTTTGTGCTGCCAGATTACAAGCATTTAAGGGTTTACTTTTTTTTGTCCTGGAGGTTCTTGCAGACAGGATGGGTGCGAAGGACTTTGTCCTGCCAGACAGCTATATAAAGCACTCAGTGATTCAGCATTTGCTGCACCCTACACAGATTCCTCTGTTATCATACCAACAGGAATGTGGGGCTAGAAGGGATCTCCTAATCATCATCGTGTTCCCCAGCTATGACAAGCACTGAGTCATGAAATCCCTCTCATTAATATATCACAGTCCATCTGAAGATGGAAAATTCATTGGGAATTTTCTTGGCAGGTTATTCCAGAACTTCACTCTGACAGAAGGAAACTTGGTTCTGATTTGCAGCCCACATTTTTTCATAGCCTATTTTTATCTACTTGTTCTCATGCCAATGCTGTCTTCTAGTTAGTAGCTGTTCTTCCTTCTTGTTTCCTAACTTAGCCTCTTACACGCCAATGAAAAATGTCCATTTCTTCCCAGAATCCCTGGTCTACTTGGAGAAGAAACTATCTATTTTTAGCTCCCTCTAGCAGTTCATACCTGCCACTCTTTGTATCTGCAGGAAGGCACTGAGGGAGAACCCTGGTTTCATCGCTACCCATTGCAGCGATGGGAGGATGGCTGTATACACTGCTCCCTGCTGCCAGCTGCAGAGGAGTCTATAAAGAGTTTGGCAAGATGCTAGAACAGAATTGCACCCACCTTTTGAAGCACTGAAGAAGAAATACTCATTGGCAGTTAGGGTATCTGAAAGGCAAAATCTGTGGGTCAGCAAGAACTTGACATTTTCCCTGCAAGTTTGCAATGGATGTGGGGATCCCAGCACCCATCAGGTGCTAGATTTACCAGCAGTATTTTAATATATTCACAGAGGAAAGCCTGTCCATCTGTATTTCCTCCCAACAAACCTCCTGCAAGTGCTCAGAGGTGCAGAAACCCTGAAGAGCTTTTGCTTCTTGGAGCTTCCCATGGCTTAGGAAATCCGTATGGACCCAAGTTCCTTAGGAAGCTCCTGGTAATGGTCAAGGGGCCCATAGGAAGGGAAAATGAAGGCATTGTCCTGATGACATGATCCAATGTGGGAATAGCATGGACAAGGTGAATATAACTAGCAAGGCACCCTTCAGGAGTTGTGTGTTGGTTTCCAGGCAATTACATCTCATATTTAACCCAAATGAGGCGGGCAATATTTCAAACCAAAGGGAACTGCAGGAATAATATTAGCTGATGCAATCGCACCTTGAATTTACAGCAGTGCTAGGCAGATCCATGAGCAGTGGGTTACTCTGTACATAATTACAGCAAATTCAAGCCCTTGTTTGAAAGCAGCTGGGTTTTGGTTGGTTTTGTTTGAACAGTCCCCCAAATACAGGTGCTGGATAAAGACTTCTTTTCCTCTGACAGGTGAATCTTTCGTTTGCTGGTGGATCATGCTTTTGCAAATATCAGCTCATTTCCTCACTATTACAACCTTTATCACGTCAGTAACAAACCCACATTTAGTGCTTTCCTGCTTCTGCAATCTATTCTTCACAGCTCCTCAGTGGTGAGGTCTTTTTCCTAGCTCTCCTAATAATTGATATCAGCATGCTGCAGTCAAGGGGGGAGGCTGGCTCTCCTGTTGTGGAAGTCTGGCATTACTGGGTACCTGTTGTGTTACAGTATGACCCCTTAGGCTAAATTCCACCCTCAGCCCCCACTGCCTTCAGCAGTAGCTGCTTGAGGGCATCTGAATTGAGCCTTTAAATCAGACAAGCTCAACAACAACAAAGAGAACCTGAGGATGACTTGGAGTCTAATTTACTCAAGGAGAAGGTTCCGAGTCAAGAGCCTTGTCTCTTCTACTGAACATTGTGCTCATCTCAGAGAGAAAACCCATGCTCTCTTTTCTCTCTCACTGGCACCAGTCATTCAAGTGAACACAAAGCCACCTCCCTGAGATGCATCAAAGCTTCTTCACTAAATATTTGCAGAAAAGGCTTTGGGTGCTTCACCAGGAAGGCCTGAGAGACAGGTTGACCCATCACAAAACAGGAAAACAAAAGCTTATGCTTCCAGCTGGGCCCTGGTTAACTTTCTCAGCCAGCAAGTCTTGGACCTCAGTGAGAATCCCAAATGTCCTCTGGAAAAAGTGAGAGAGGAGTTGGGAAAGATGGGGATTTCAGGCAACAAACTGGGGTACCAACAATGGAGACCAATGATTTTGCTGTTGAGTAGCCAGTAGTTGCTCTATGTGGATGGTTTGCCCACAGGATCTGGTTTTAGTATATAAAGTATTTATATGCATGTTCCTGTATATATTTGTGTCCTTACACAATGGGGAAACATCCTGCTTTTTCAGGATCACCCCATTGTCCAGAAATTTGGGATTTGACAATCATAGATCAGAAAGAACCAAGAACCCTTTTCCCTGTCAGCAGTCAAAGCATCTGCTGCAGCAAGGATGAGATTTCTACCAGTAAGCAATGATTTTTCTAGATAATGACAGCATTAGGAACAACCCCACAAGCATGTGAGGTACATCTGCTAAAGCACTTCCATAAAAAAATCCCCTTGCATCTTTCCCTTGGGAAAAATGAGTGCCCTGCTCAGCAATCAGAGCCTGGGCTGCAGGGGGGCCACAGCCCTACAAAGAGAGATGCTGCCTCTATGCTGCACACAGCAGGGGCCTATTTATTTGGCAGAATTGGGTTATCCTCTGCCTGATCCAGACTGCATCAATCTTGGAGCAGCAGGAGGAGGTAAGGTAGGTTTTGTGCTGACCACCTACCTTCTGGTACAGCTGGAAATCTGGGAACAATATCGTTTCAAACATTATTCATCAGGTTCCAGGACTGGTGCCAAGCTCTGCGCAGCTAACAGCTGAGCAACCCAGACTTGGTCTCTGCTTTTACAGGACTATTATAAAATCATTTCCCTCCGTGACCAGTTTAGGCTGTTCTAACGCAGAGTCATAAATGAGACACTGACTTTTAAAGATCTTCCTACCCTTAGGGTGGCAGATGAAAGAACAGGTCACAGCTTTGTTCTGCTGCAACATGCCTGGAAGTGTTGTGAGACATGCTTTCATTACAGGGAAATTTCCAGTGTCTCACTGGGTTTTGCAAGTTTGCAACCTACCTGTAGAGTAGGAAAGAAAGGCTGGGCTGGCCAAAACATATAAAAGACATTTATTTGCTCATGTCATTTGGACAGCAGTAGCTGTCTTACTGATGTCTGTATCTGTTGGAGAGAGCAGGGGTGATTTCCACCCCTAACATAGACCTTGCGGCATTTTTCAGCAACTCAGCAAGGATGCCCAAGCCCAGGATAACTTAAATTCATTTAATAAACCTGAACATCTTCTTTGCAAAACAAAGCGATCAGTGTAAGAGGAGCCCGTGACACTGTGCTGGGAAGGATGTTGCTCATACCAATTCGGCTGCTCAAGCAGATTGCTCCTTTAACACCACCTCTGACTCAAGTCCCCAGTTTAAAACCCCTATTTTTACAAGTCTGCAGTAACCAATGGAATAAATTAATTCAGGGGGTGTTCCAGATAATGAGGAGTTTGTCCTGCAGCAAAAAAGTCTCCAATGAAGAATTAGTGTTGTAATTGTATAAAGTGTTATCAAGTGAACAATGAGTGATTATCAATGAAGATGTTAGAGGCTCAGAGTATGCAGCAATTAGATTTTGATAACTGGTGAGAATGGAAATGAGAAAAACAACAGTGAAAGAAAGTAAAATGCTTTCTGATCACACTATCTAACAGTTAATACCCCCATGCACAGGGATTCATAATATCCCCTGCATAAAAAGGATGCACAGAATTTCCCATAAAAATATCTCGGACTCACTTGATTATCATTTCCTTAAAGCTTAAGTGTTATACCAAAATATTCATGCTGAGTGTGCTGGAAAGCTACAATGAAAATTATTCAGGACATTTCCAAGAGCATGGCTAACAAAAACACATTTGTCCCCATTTCAAGCCTGTTTCTTAGTTTTTTTTTGTCTGAGATGCTTCTCCCTCACAGCATACGAACTGGAAATCTAACTTCTATGGGTCTTGGCAAAACCCATTCAACCAGGACCACACTTTATGACCTTGAAAAGTCACAAGGCATGCAGATCTGCAGAGGCTTCTTAGCATTTAGTGGACAAAAAGCCATCCCCAAAACATGCCTGGAACTTCCACCCTGGCTGAGTATGCTCCATGTCCTTGCTGATGCACTGGGGCTGTCCACTGACAGTAGTCAAGCCCACCCCACCTGCGAGTCGTTGCCGTTACCACTGTGGGAGGGTGCACTGAGTTGAGGGGAAATGGGCTTCCCCTCATAAAGGTGATGCCCACCATGCTGCCACTGAAGCAGCATGGCAGAAGAAGTGGTTGTGGAAGCCACTGTGGGAGGAAAGCGGTAAATCTGGTTGAAGAACCTGTTGTAAGTGGGGCTGGGGGAGGAGGGAGTAAAAGAAGGAAAGATGGTGTGACTGGGGCAGAAGAGGGAAGGTGGGGATCTTAATTTTCTGAATCAACAAAATAAAGGAGGATAGAGGGAAGGGTTAAAGCACCAAGAACTCAGGGCCTGGGAGCAGCTATTGGTCAAAAATTAAAGCAACGAAATAGGGGAAAGGGTAGAGGTGATGGTAGGACAAGCCAGATGACTAGGAGCAGGACAGAGGTGGGGTATAGATGTGACTTGAGGTGAGATGCAATTAGTGAAGGCGAGAGTTGGGGAGAGGACAGACTCTGACTTGACAGTGGTGGAGCAGGGAGCAGAGGAGGTAGCAAAGGAGCTGGGTTTTTTTATTCCAGGGCCTTGAAAAAGTAGGACTGGAGGGAACACAGAGGGAAAGAAGCAGAATGCTCCTGTGGCACATGTTGCTCTCCGGAGTTCGGAAGGGAACCTGGCTGTTCTGAAACTCTCAACTCATCTGCTGCTAGCATGTGGATTTGAAAGGCAAGCCTCTGATGCTGGCTAGCAGCACAGCAATCTCTTCCTATGCCACCCTTACGTTTGTTAGTTGGAGAGGGCATAATCACCTGGGTTGCCTCTGTCAGTCCCTGCCAGAGGTCCTTGTGGTGGACCTGTTCTTGTTAATGAACCTCCTGGATGTGCATATTGTAGTGTCCTTGCTCAGTTGAGTTGGCTTTAAAACAAACCAACGAGGATCCTAAAAAGCAGCACATTGTAATCTGTGCTGAAAAGGCTCTGAAATCAAGCATTCCAGAGTCATGGAAAGTTGGAACTAAAACAATTTGTGCAAACTTAATTTAGCTTAATTTTGGCATGTATGACTTTGTGGAAAACAGTCCTGGAAGGGACCTCAAGGAGCCACCTGGGGACTCCAGTCCATCTCTTTCCCCCAAGGCAGGACCATTCTCGACAAATGTTACTCTAATCTTCTCTTGCAAGACAGATGTTAATGGCACGATCACATTCTTTTTCTTAATGGGATCCTGCCTCAGTGCACAAAATGCATCAGGGCCATGCTGTGGAGGAGACTGGAAATGCCGCTGTTAAAAATACAAGCTCATGGTTCAACTTGTGGACAACTGCCCTGGAGAGCTGCCTCTGCTTCAGAGTTCCTGGTCATTTAAATGGGACTTCTCAAGGTGGTTATTTAAATGGGACTTCTCTCAGGCAGTCATTAATTGTGTTTTCTCCATTTTGTGAGTGCTCAGCTTGAAAATGCTGCCTCTGATGTAACTGCTCGTGCTTGGTGCCCTGTTTTAATGCAGTGTTAGGGCTTGAATTTTAGCACCACTACACAAATAGCCCAGCTCATGTTGCCATAGACTGGGAAATGAAACTGAAATGCTTACACACTGTGCTCATCACTGGCTGTCATAAGTTGCTCATCTCCCACTTCTCATTTGGCCCTGCCCCGTGCACTCTGTCAGCCTCTCTCTCTCCACACCTTGCTTGTTCTGCTGAAAGCATGTGTACAGAACCTTACAGTCATGCATGATGATTCCCAGTTGCTGTAGTTTGTTTGTGGATGATTCCTCTGACTATTCTATTCAGTTCAGGTTTCTCCATAACCACCTCATCCTCAGAGGTATATGCATTTGGTGCAATTAATTACACCAGTAACATCTATAATTACCTCAGGGAAAAATCAGCAAAGTGTGTAAGAACTGGCAGCATACAGGACACCAGGAACTGCTGCGGCGGGTCACAGAATCATCACAGGATTGTGGAGCACAGAAGGGACCTCTGGTGATCATCTTGTCTAACCCACCCTTGCTTGAGGAGGGTCAGCTGGAGCTGTCACCTTCACTGTCCACTTCCATACTTTCTTGCATACCCATACAGCTTGTCTATGGGGATGTTACATCAGACACTGTCTAAAGCTTTACTAAAGGCAAACGCCATCCACTGCTTTCATTCACCAACCAAGTCATCTTACTGTGGAAGACCGTCAGGTTGGTTAAGCCTGATTTCCCCTTTGTAAATCCATGCTGACTACACTCAACCACCTCCTTGTTCTTCATGTGCCTGGCAATGGTTTCCATGACTTCTTACTCCATTGCCTTTCCAGGGATTGATGTGAGGCTGACCGGACTGTAGTTTCCTTCTTGATGATAGGAGTGATATTTGCTTTCTTGCAGATCTCAGGAACCTCTCCATGACCTTTCAAAGAGTGACCTTGCAGTGTCAATAGCCAGCTCCCCAAACACTTTTGGGCCCCTTGCTCAGGGGCCTGGGATTGCTGGAGGACACTTGTACCCATAAGGCTTCCTCCTGGGTCACCTACCCCTGCTTCTACCTTTTGTACGTTTCTTCTTTATGTCAGTTTAGTCAGGAACTCCTTGTTCATCCATGCATGCCTCCAGCCACCTTTGCTTTTCTTATTGTCAGGATAAAATACTCTTGGGTTTTGAGATGATCCCCGATTACCAAACAACTCAGCCCCTGGCTTCTAGTCCAGTATCTGGTTTCTGATTGTGTCAGGGAAAGATGTTTCAGAGTGTTTTATAAACCTTCCCTTACTTTCACACTTAGTGATTTGAATTCAAGCAGCATGTTTCAAGCCCTTTACCAAAAAAAAAAAGAGGTTTAGTACTATGTATTTATGGGGTCAGTATTATCCAGGTACTTGCCCATCAGTGGTATCATTCACCAGTGACTTTCAGAGTCCAGTTAGAAATGTAACTGCCTTCCTGTCACCTAGTGGGAGGCTTCTTGCCCCAAAGCCCACTCACTAGGCAGGTCTTTCTAGTATCCTTCTGTATGTGTGGAGAAAAGAGAGGCTCTTCTAGGTGAAGTTTAAGAGCAACCCTACTTGAGAACTAGAATCACCTCCTGGAGAAGTCTCTCACCTTCCAGGGACTAGAAAAACTCCTACTTTAAGCACCTGACATATACAATAACTGCTTAACTTAGAAATACTTCGTTCTACTGAAAGGGTCACCTTTCCCGTTAATTGTGTTGTCCCCTTGCTCCTGTGCCACAAGGCAAAAAGAGATCCTTTTGAACTCAGACCAGCATCATCAGCTTGATATGGCTTGCATCCAGTCCAATTAAAAACAAATAAATGTAGCATTTCCCTTAAGTCAGATGTCCTGAAATAACTCCTTTATAAAAAGGCATTGTTAATCCTATCGGGCTTTTTCTGCTTGTAGGCTCTTTCCTTAGGGGTCATTTGGAGTGACTGCTGCTCCAATCATGCTAACCTTATTTAAGCTCCCCCATTTCCTGTCTGTGTCCTTATATGCCTGCTCATTGTTGCCTGTTGAGTTCAGCTTTGCTCTTGCTGCTTGGCTTGCAGCCTCTTGCAGGGTTTGAGAGGGGTGCTCATCCAAATCTTGCAGAACATGTAGCATGTGAGCAATAGCGGCTGGGCCAGATCGGCAGATAAGCTTTGCTGACCATTAGCAAAACAATGGACTGTACGCTCAGTGCTGTTAAATACACAAAATAAACAGGGAGGGGAAAAAAAATAGGTTGCTTGTAACAATCAGGTCACATAATGTTCAGGAGGAAATGAGATTCTGGAATTATTTTTTTTTTTAAGGAATGAAATTGTTTCCATTGATTTCTAGGGCTTTTTGGTGCTTTCATGCTACTGGTTTCTTGTCTCCAGACAGCTGGATCGTGCTGCCTGATCCTCAATCCTTCCTTGAAGAAAGGCATCTGAATTACATCTAATAGGGCTGAAGCAAAAGCAATGTGGGTTGTTAGTCTGATCAAATTAAGAGGTGTGCAATGTTGTGCAGAGCGTAAAAGGTTTTACCATGTCAAGCAGTCCACAGAGAATTAAGGGAACTAGCTGATTTTATGGGAAACACCCAAGACACAAGTCTTTTCTGTTACGATTCCTGTGCCTACTTTGAAGCTTTGTGTTTGCAGACCCTCTAGCCTGTTCACATATTTGCTAAGTTTTTATATTGGATAACTCAGTTTCAATGCCATACTTTCCAGATGTTTTAGTGATCTGGGAGAGAGCTCTCCTTTTAAAAACAGCTGTTTCCATCTCAGGGCAAGACAGCTGTCAGCACCAGATGTACAATGCAAGATGCAGCAACAATTAGTAACCATTTACAAGCCAAAGATGAAGGAAGTAGTGTGCAACGGTGATTAGGGAGCAGGCAGGGACAGGGCTCCTTAATTCAGTTAAGAGTGCTTGGTAAAAACTCAACACCCAAAGTGAAAATACTGTTACATTTTTGGCCCCTTCATAATTAAGTGTGCATTTTCTCCCAGCTTCTGAGAATCACCACCTTTAATTCCAAACTGAAGACCCTCGGTCCATTGGTGAGACATACAACAACAGTGCAAGTTCACTACTGTGGCTGATGTATATAGAATGGCCAAGGTTTCACAGCTCTATTCAACCATTTTGCTACGTGCTGTATAGTGCAGAGCAATCATTCCTCTCTGCAGACAGAAGTGTATTATACTCCCCACAGTTTACCTTGTAGGTATCAAGAATGGCTCTAAAACGCCAAGCACTGCTGTCCCCATTCTCCCCCAGGGAGCTGGCTGGGGAGACCTGTACCCATGCAGTTGTTTTCAGCCCGGGTAAAAGCAGCTGTGACAGCAAGAGCTGGATGCGCATTTCATCGCAGCTAAGCATGGTAATTTTGGTCTGCAGGGAGCCCTTGCAGCAAGGACAGCATCCCAGGCAGGCTCCACCAGGCGTATTGCTGCCTTCTTTGCTTCTTTGGTGATGCAAACATCTATTCTGAATGGCTTTTTCTCCTTCTCTTGGCACCTTGCACCATATGCAATGCTTTCTTTCCAAAACTGTTTCAACAGGAACTAGAGAAACCTCTTCCTGCATTTGTGAGAAAGCACAGTAAATCTCATCATCCTGGTGCAACATCCCCCAGCTGTCTGAAGGAGGAAGCACCCCAAAATCTCCTTTGCTGGCTGTTGTGCTTGCATCCTTCTACAATTTCTAGGTCATTGTGATAGCTTGGAAACCAGCCTGGGTCTTCTCCCCTGCCCATGCCTCTCCCAGATGTCTACCAAGGCTCAGCTAAAGGGCACTCCTTATTCCCTGTCTCACGTTAAGGCTTCCTAGCCCTACATGATTTTCTAGAATGGACTGAAGGCCTCAGGGATCAGGTTGGCTTTAACTCTTTGCAATTTTAAAGTCTCCCCAGCAGTGTGGAACTTGACTGGAGATGCAAGGAAATAATGACCATGGGACATTTATACTCCTTTCTACCAATACTGTACTATAGAGGGAGCCCCAGTAAATGCTGGGGAATGGGGCCGTTTAGATTTCCTGCTGTAGGAATGACCCATACGCTTCTTAGTAGCCTCTTTACAGAAACAGGCAGACCTGCTGTGGGAAAATGCAAACAGAAAACAAGTGGATGTCAGTCTGAGCTGTTTAACTGCATCTGAGAGAGATGATACACACAGAAGTATAATTCGCTAGATTTGACCTCTTTTAAACTCCTCGGGAAACAGGCATAAGCTGTGCTTTCCAGGGAATGACTCTCTGGAAGACATGTCAAAGGCTCATTAGAATGACAGAGCTTCTCTGGCTCTGGACACTGTGGTTTTTCCAGGGTTATTTATGAAGAAGGTGTGGCCAGACAAATGCTGGAGCAAGGGAAACTGTCCAACAGAACAAGATGTTCTCCTGGCACAGTGGGAAACCTGATGCTTCTTTCGAGAGTCAGTGGATAAGACCAACCTTAAACCTGTGCAGCAGGGAGGACTTCCACACAAGGATGCATTTTTTGCACCTAGCGAGTCACTGATGTTTTCCATGTGTCGCAGTGTTGCCATGAACCTGTATTTGGTGTCTCTGCTTGTTCCACTGCGCTGAATTGAGAAATGGACGTGGTCCGTAGCTCCTGTTAAACTGTTCAGACCACTTGGCTCTGTTGGTTTTGGCAAACTTACCTAGAGTCTTGCAAGGGCCAGGTTCACCCCCACACATCCAGATCAGCAAAACGTTTGCTGTTCTCTGAAGCAATTGTTGGTGATGACATATTTTGTGACAGGAAATCATTGCAAAATGCTTGGCTCTCAGGATGAAAACCATGCATCCAGCTCAGAAAAATAAATGCGACCGGTATGTTCTAAGCATAGATCTCTTCAGATTTTGTTCTAGGACAAAAATCAACCCCACTTTTCAGGACTTATTGTTCTAATCATTAACGCCTGGGCAGTCAGTACATCTGTTACTGTTACAATCTCTGATTTTCCACTGGAAAAAAAAAAGAGAGAAAAGTTAAAGTTTAACCACAGCCATTGAGTTTGCCCACGCCAATCAAACAGGAGACAAGCCATTACAATATCTCAGTAACTTGTTCCGTGGATAATTCCCCTGGCAATATTAAGGAATTAAATGCAAGACTGGTAGATCCATTAGTATTGTTTAGATTTGCAAAGCATAACAGAAGTTCAAACTGCCTTGAATGACTGCCTCTTTACGAGGCTAGTGGAGGTAGCCCTCTCACCATGGCTCCTGATGGAATGACCAAGGAAGAGCTGCGAGGTAAGCAAACAGAACATCTTCCTACAGAACACCCAAAAAGGAAGCAATAGAGAATGACAAGGCAGGAGTTCTCTGTGCAGGAACATGTCTACGGGTGCATGTTGGAGCAGACCTGCTCAGCGTCTGATTAAGATATTTGAAGTTTAGGGTGATATATGAAAAGTAAACAGACAAATGAAAAGCCTTACACGAACAAAGCACACCCCACCACCCCCCTTCCGCTGAGCTCCTTAAAGCTTTGTTCTACCAGGGAATAGTACCAGTTTCCCAATTCACTGCCACCTTACGGCATTTCAGAGAGATGACACTTCAGTAATTCCTATTGGATGCTTCCTATTTTCAAGCAGCCTCGCTGGGAACTCGGTCGTTACAGAAACACGGCAGCTGTAAACCTGCCCCTTGCAGCCAGGTTTGGAACAATATCAGTGCCTGAGACGCTGGATTATACAAGCTTGTGAAAACCGATCATTAAAACGTCAATTCTATTTATATTTGCAGATTCTCAAGGGAGGTCATTTCATCAGCCAAGAGGCCGAAAATAAAGATGAACTTTGCAATGTTGTCAAAAGAGAACCTTTCAGTCTAAAAAAAAAGACTCATGACTCTCCCGAATGATTTTAATTGTCAGCCCAGTTTTGCAATGGAGGATGAAAGATTAACAGATGCCCTTATCACGTGTTGAGGGTTTTTCTGAGAGTAGGCTTAGCTAAGGGAAGAGTCTGTGAGAAGACTAACAGAAATGGAAGATGCTTTGTAGTTTCCCACCCCTTCAACTACATATAATCCTCCTTTAAGCACACTTGTGTGGTTTCCTAGTCGATGAGCAGACACTAGACTTGAATGGACAGGCTTTGGAGAGTTAGTTGGTTAATTATTACTTGGAAATGTGGGCAGGATTGCCTAATAGGAAACAGAGCAGCTGGGATATTTGTCCTGTGCATTCCCCAAGTGCATGGATAGACTTGGCATTCAGCAAAGCAACATTAGCAGCAACCAAGAGTTCTGGGCTTGATACGGGTTGTTTTGGTACTGAAGAGGAAACTGGGTGATTTTAGGGAAGGGTTATACCATATACAGGAGAACAAGCATAAAGCTGTTTTCCTGAGGTAAACCTGTTCTCTGTAAGTGAATGAAATTGGTTTCCATCTTCAGGTTGTAGACTCGTTATAAAACTGGAAGGAATATTTTTCAAGCAGACACTGTCAGTATAAAGTACGCATTGGTCTGATTTTTATTTACTACTATCATGAGTAACAACAAATGCTAAAGCAAAGAACTCAACCTCCCCTCCCTGCTGTTTTTCAGATCACCAACTTTCTTCAGTTAACAAAAACTCATCTGTCTCTCAAGCTGGATCTCCTGTTTATGTAGTCTTTTGAAAGAACTTTGCCAGAAAATAAGATGATGTGATTTGCATTGGCATTTTGATGCTCAATGGCAAAAAAAAACCAACCAATTTTAAGCTCATGAGTGGAATGTCTAGCGGTGCATTTCCGGTAGAGGAGAGCTAGCCACTGCCTAGTTGCATATTTACTTTGTCTTTTTGTGCAAGACCATCCTTTACAGAACTAATCCAATCTGTAGCCCTAATTTTTGACAAATAGCCGTGGCTGGGATCAACAGCTGTACTGAAACAAGAGAGGAGATGTCATTTTCATGGCTGATAGCCAATTGAGTCTGTGCCTCAGCAATGTTTGATACAGTGGCATCTCAGAGCAGGGCTGGAATGATGACTATGGTGGGGGGTGGCTGCAGCACCACTCCAATACTGTGATTACAGACTGTGTCTTTAGTCTTTGTTAGGGCACACCACTCTCAACAGTCAAGCTTCCAGCTGTACAGAGCTGCACAGGTAGCTCATGAAGAATCAAACCTTAAACAGTCCCAGGTCCTTTGTAGTAGGTAAAGATATTAATTATTTAACTGACAGGAAAAAAGGTTTCCAGCAAACTGAGCACCCTGGAGCAAACAAACTGCTGAACCATTTAGAGAGACTGTGTTTGTTTTCTGCTTTGGAAAACAGCTCTTGTAAAGGATAAATTTTAGCTTAGTTTGCTCACATAGCAAGCTGGTTCAGAATGGCAGTGGGAAGAAGAAAAAAAACCTAAATCTGGCAATATTTTGGTGCCAGCAACTCTTAGAACCTAACACTGTCAAGGAGTGCTTCTGCTAGTCCAAGTTGCTTTGTATGTGGTATAAACTATTCTGGCAAGAACGCTTTTTTTTAATGGCATAAGCAACTGGTGCTCAATTTTTGTTGAGGACCGCTGAGTATTTTTACTGAGGTCACAGCAGGGAGAATACTCCAGCACCTGCTTTGGCAGGGCTGGGAACTGATGCCCCAGGGGTGCTTCAGAGCCCTGAAGTCCAAGCTCTTCCAGAACAGTACCTGGGACTGTGGCCAGGGCCAAGCTCAATCCACTCATGGTGGCACTGGATATAAGGGCCAGTTTAATAGCTCTAACAAACTGTGTTTCCTGTCTTGCTGATAACAGCTGAATCGGGAGCATCTTCTAGGAGCGTTGATCTTCTATCTCCATCGCTCTGCCCAGTTTCTGAAGCAGCTTTACCATCACTCCATGCGCTACTTCCAGTGTGCTGTTGCCGTATTTTTATAACAAGCCATCTCACCACACTGTGCCCCTCTCCTACAGCTGCTGAGGTTTCCCACCAACCACACCACAGGCCTATGGACAACACTACACATGGTAGCAACAGCTGGTTCAATGTCATTGTCTTTCATTGAATCACAGAATCAACTCGGTTGGAAAAGACCTTTAAGCTCATCAAGTCCAACCATTCCTCAGCACTGCCAAGGCCACCACTAACCCATGTCACTGAGGGCCTCGTCTACATGGTGTGTGAACACTTGCAGGGTTGGTGACTCCAGCACTGCCCTGGGCAGCCTGTTCCAGTGCAAAGCCTTTTGGTGTCAAAATTTCTTCCTAATATCTAGTCTAAATCTCCCCTGGCTCAACTTGATGTCTCTTGCCCTATCTCTTGTTACTTGGGAGAGGAGACCAACCCCCACCTCACTCCATTCTCCTGTCAGGCAGTTGTAGGGAGCAATATGGCCCCTCCCGAGCCTTCTCTTCTCCAGATTGACCCTCCCAGGTCCCTCAGCCGTTCCCCATCACACTTGTGCTCCAGGCCCTGCACCAGCTCTGTTGCCCTTCTCTGGCTCTGCTCCAGCACCTAAGTGTGTCTCTTGTAGAGAGAGGTGCAGAGCTGAACACACGATTCGAGGTGCAGCCTCACCAGTGCCCACTACAGGGGGGTGATCACTGCCCTGGCCCTGATGGTTACGCTATGAAGGATGCCAATGCCCTTCTCGGCTGCCTGGGCATAAGCTGCTTGTGTTCGGCTCCGCCAATCAGCATCCCCAGGTCCTTTTCCATGAGCAGCTTTCCAGCCGCTCTTCCCCAAGCCTGGAGCGTTGTGTGGGATCCTGCAGATACAGGATCCAGCACTTTGCCTGTTGAACCTCATCACATTGGCCACAGCCTATTTGATCCAGCCTGTCCAGACCCCTCTGCAGGGCCTTCCTGTCCTTCGGCAGACCAACACTCCCATCCAACTTGGTGTCATCTGCAAATGTACTGAGGGTGCCCTCGATCCCCTCATCCAGATCATTGCTAAAGATATTAAACAACAGTGGTCTTAACGCTGAACCCTAATACCAGCTCAATGAGGGACTGACTTCAGTCCCCGATGGTTTCAGGCCCAAACCAAGGGGGTGCTGAGGCGCTGGCACAGGGTGCCCAGAGAAGCTGTGGCTGCCCCATCCCGGGCAGCGTTCAAGGCCAGGTTGGACAGGGCTTGGAGCAGCCTGGTCTAGTGGGAGGTGTCCCTGCCCGTGGCAGGGGGTTGGAACCGGATGAGCTTTGAGGCCCCTTCAACCCAAACCAGGCTGAGAACTCTGCGCCTCTCCCCTGCCTCCTCTTTGCCCAAGTGGCCTCAACTCAGAGCCGCGAGCCACCCCCGGAGGGGTGTGAGGGGCGTTACAGCCAGCGGGGCGGCGGCTGCCCGCCCTTAACGCGGCACTGAGCATGCCCCGCACCCCCGGCCGCCCGCGCACGGCTAGGTCATAAAGGTGAGCGGCCGTGCCCCAACGGGCTTCCGGATTGGCCGGTGGCGGAGAGCTACATGGCGTCTTCGGGCCGCCTCATCGCCGTGAGCCAATGAGAACCCGCCTCGGGCTGCAGCTTGAACCCGTCCCAGGGCTGTGCGTCGGCGGCAGCGCGCCCTCTGGTTGGCTCTCACGCTTCGGCTCAGCCCGGCAATAGCCGGAAGAGAGGCCTCCTTCCTATTGGCTGCCGAACGCGCTGCTAGGGCGGTGGCAGCGTTTTCCGATTGGGTCTCCGTTTCGCTTCGGGGAGACTCCGTTGCGCCCGTAATGGCTTTATGATTGGTTACAGGCATTTCCGTAGCGACCTCGGGATTGGTCCCGAGGACGCTCGGCTGTTTCCGTGAGGGCCTCGGGCTGGGGTCTAACGAATGCGTCGGGCTCTTCGGCTGGGTATTCACTGAAGGCGTTTACGGCCATTCCGCAACGTAGGGCGGCGACAGGCATAGGCGGCTGCGCGGCTTTGGCGCACACACAGAGCGCAGCAGCAGGAGCCCGGCACGCAGCGGAGGCAGCAGCGGGGACAAAGGGACTGATCGGCACAAACAGGGAGGGGGGCCTGGCAGAAGGCAGCCAGCCCCGGGAGGGAGCGGCAGGAGGCTTCAGCCGGGCGGGCGAGTCCCATGTGCCTTGGGCGCCCGGGGAAGCAGCACTAACCGCCGCCGTCAGCGCTCTGAAGCCGGCTGAGGAAGAACCGCGGAGCCGTCGCCGTCGTCATGGCCTGCGCCACCGCCGCCGGCCACGTCCCGCAGTGCAGCGTCCCCAGCCTGATCCGCCGCCAGCTGCCCCTGCGGGCGCAATGAGGAGCCCCGCCGGAGCCGCCGCCTCAGCGCCGCACTGAGAAGCCTTCGTGAGCGAGCGAGGCCGCCCGGGCCGCTTCACCCCTGCTCCGCCCGCCGCGGATCCCGCCGCCACTGCCGGATCCCCTTGCGAGCGGTCGCATCGCCTCCAGTCGGCGGAGATCCCTCCGCCGTCGGATAAAAAAATAGTCCCTTTCCCTGCCGCCTCCCTCAGAGGCGAGGTGAAGCAAAGGAGAGGGGAGGGGGGGAAGAGGAGGAAGGAAAAGAAGGGAAAGAAAAAAGCGGAAAAGGGGATAAGAAACCCAAGAGACGCAGCGGCGGGATCAGAGGAGCCGGGCCGTGAGCCGCCGCCCCATGTGACTGGCGCCCGGGGTGGGGGCAGCGAGGCCTAGCCAACCCCCCTCGCTCGCGGCCGGGAGCGGGAGCGGCGCCGGCCCGGGGGGGCTGCGGACTGGGCGGAGGCAGCTCTCGGACCCACCGGCGCTGCCGGGAAGGATGGTTTTGTGAGGAACGGGCGGCGTGAGGAAGAAGAGGAACACGAAGGAGAAGCAGCAGCCGCCGCCGAGCGCTACAGAGACCGCGAGGGGAGGGGGCTTCCCCGGGGGGGGGGGGAAGGGGGGACCCCGGCATTTCATGTGGCGCGTCCCGCCCGTCTCCTCCAGCTGAGCGAGGGAGCGGCAGACGGGCCCGCCGGGGCGAGGCGGAGGAGTGGAAAAGGCAGGAAGAGAACGGTGATCGGGGCACAGTAGGAGCGGGAGAACCATGTCCGGGCGGCCCAGGACCACCTCCTTCGCGGAGAGCTGCAAGCCGGTGCAGCAGCCCTCGGCCTTCGGCAGCATGAAAGTTAGCCGTGAGTATCCTGCCGCCCTGCGCGGGTGGTTGTCTGTCCGCCCGGCCCTGCTGGGGCTTTCCCCCCCTCTCCACCCTTCGCTGAGGCGGTAGGGCGGCGGGCGGGAGCCCGGCCGGGGGCCGAGAGAGCAGTCGAGAGCTCGGCCCCAGCCCCGGCGGAGGCAGCTCCTTTCTCTCCCCTTCCCCCTCCATTAACCTTGAATAGGCGCACGCCGCCGATTCGTTTGGGGCCTGTTGGACAAAAAAAATGCCGGCTGGTTTGTCCTCAGCCCCCGATCGCTACCAGCGTTGTAAGCAGCCTCTGGCTAATTAAAAAGCCTTCCTCCCCTTCTCTTCCCCCCCGCTTTGTGAAACGGATTGGCAGCTCCGTAGCATGTATTTTGCTTTTGATTTCCCCCTTGAAAGGAGGAAGCGAATTGCGGGCACACAGGTATTGCCGTGACATTAATGTTCATTCTGTGTTTTTTTTTTTTTTACGCACTCCTGGCTCTGAAGAAGAGAGCTAGGAAGATTTTTTTTTCCATGCACCCGTAGATCGGGTGTGAGCACCTTTTAGTCCAGCCCTTTTATAAGAAAAAAAAAGGGAAAAAAAAAAAAAAGAGGGGGGGAGGGAGGGGAGCTTACAAAAGGTGTTTCTCTAATATCCTCCAGGCTCTGGGAGAAAGCTCAATCGAGGGGATAAGAAAATGGCTATTTTGACATGTGAGCCTATGGAGTAGTTATTTCAGGCTTGGCCATGCCTTTTCCAGTCTTCTGATCAGAGGAATATATTTAAGAATGAGGCCTTTTGCTTTATTCTGCACAGGTGTGCTGGAAATCGTGTTTAATATGTGCCCATCTTTCGTATCCAAGTTTGTTGGATTAGCTGGTGTATGTGAATAAAAAATATGTATTAAATCTGAACAGATGTACAGTGTCGATGGAACAGGGCCTGTTCAGAGTTGCTTAAGATGGGCTAATTGATTATAATAGGGAATTTCTTAACTCCTGATTTGAATATGCTCACATTAATTGTTCTTCCAGATTCCTACTAATAGTGTAGTTTTCAGGGATATTTTCCTTTTTCTTATAGAAACGCAGGGTGGCATCTTTATGGGACCAAGAATGCTTGATATGTATGACCATTCGATTGATGTATTTGATCCTTGCGTGCAGCCACACCTGACATGGCTCTGTGTGTGCATGTGTGCAGATATAGCCCCTCGGTTTGTGTGTTTCGTGCCAAAGCGCTGTACGGTTGTGAGCTTTCTGACAGATCAGGAATTCTGTTTTTCTGCACTGAAATGTCTTCCACTGCGGTTGAAGACTTGAAGAGAGCGTTTGGCTCGGGGTCTGTAGCCTACCTTGTATCTGCATGATCAGCGTGCCTGCAGCATTCAGAAAACATGGGTGCAGTTAACCCATGTTAGCAGCATAAGGGCATATGTTTTATCCGGTCCAGCATTAGCGTTTATTAAGGATTCTTGATCTGGATGGAGAAAACCCGTGGGTGACTCCATTTTAATTTACTGATTGACTTTATGTGCATGTGGAATAGGAAGCAGGTTTTGTTGATCAGTATTTCTGCAGGTAGCTGTCTAAGCCAAGTGAGCCCTAGACCTGTCATGCTCAGCAACTGTATTTGTCTTATTCAAGCTCTACAGCTTGATTCTTGAAAGGTCATTGATGCTCCTTTCCCTCCGTTTATGTGAGGTCAGAGACTAGACAGATGCTTGCCTGTAAAGAGGGTGCTAACTGATGCAGACTAACAAGTTTGCAAATATGATTCAATCCCAAGTGTATAACACCGAGTGAGAAACAAAGGCCGTATGCGATAACCCCCACAGTCGCTCTAGTCATGTGCTCCTGGTCCTTCTGCTGTCTGGAAAAAGATGTCAGAACAAAGCAAGAGAACCACATACAAGGACTCTATGGGAAATGCAGTTGAAATTTTCAGTTCATCCATCCATGCAAGGCAGGCCACAAAGTTAACTTTTTCTTTTTTTTTCCTTTTTTTTTTTCCTTTTGCTTTGTAAGAGAAAAAAAAAATCTGTGTGTCAAAAAGGGTTGTATCTGTCTGATTCTCATGAATTCTTATGAATAGCATCTATGGAATGATGTAGCAAATTATCTAGTGCCAGTATTGAGTGCTTGGGGGGGTGGGGAAGATCACTTGTGTGGTGAACAAGGAGTTTGCTTGGCTCTTCCATTTTGCTGTATATTTACAGATACTTAGTTACATTCTGAGCCCTTTCTAGTGAAAGTTGGGACGAAAGAGCCCTTGTGAGGTGGGTGAAAATTGATGGATTGGTATCTTCTGAGTCTCTCATGCATCTCTAGTACCTCTTTCTTGGTACGCGCCTTCTCCAAGTCATCAGGGAACAAAACCTGACTTGTTATGTACCAACCTTTTTGCTTTTATTTGTAAGTCCAGTGTAGTGGTGAAATTGAATTATGAGGTCACTCTTGCTCTCGTGTCTCTGCAGCTATTGCTGCTTCTGGCTGAGCACTGCAAGTTACGTAGGAAGGATGGATCCAGGTGTGGAGGAACAGACTGATAAAGCAGTGGAGGAAGGCTTGCTGATCCTTCCGTTACCTGGGAGGAGCAGTACTAGAAGCATATGGTGATTGCTTTTCTCTGAGGTATATGGGGGAGAAAGAGCGAGTAAGGATTTTTCATCTCTTCCCTTTATAATTTATTAGACTTAATTTATGAGACTTTGTTCTCAGAAGTTGGTAAGAAAGCTTGATCCTTGAATGAAAGGATGGGAGATAACCTACAGCTGCTGCTGTTCTGGCTGTTGGGAAAGATGACTTGGCATGCATGCTGCTCTCATTGCTCTATAATTGACATTACAAGGGTTTTAACATCTCTGCAAGAGTAGGAACCCTGTGGCCTTTTTGTATCTCTTTCAGGCCATACCAGCATCAAGAGTACCTTCTGAAATCTCATTATTTTTCTTTTCTCTATTAATATTTTGGTGGTTTTGAAATCACTCCACCACTGTTTCCAGCCCACCATATGGATTTCTGCATTGAAGGTATTCTCAAGTAGGTTATTCTTGGTCTGTATTGCTGGGTTTGTAGGCTTTCCGTGCACACACAAAAAGCACATGTACTCCTCGTGTTGAGCCTGTCCCTCAAGATGAGGGAGCTGAGCTTCCAGTTTTCCCCTTACTGATACTATCAACCTGCTGGTTGTAGTATAAGAGAAGAGATATGAGCTTAAAGCTTTCTTTTGTTCTTCACCTAGTTGTTGTTGCATTGCTTCCAGATGTACATTGTTTCCCAAGTGGGGAAAAATAATCCTGAAATACAAAGGGTAGCCATGCAACACATGACCAAAAATATCTGTATAAAAATGGAAGTTTTGAAGTTTGCAGTTTAAGGATTTTCATCTAATGACTATGGAATTGATTTTTTTAAATTTTTTTTTTTTCCTTTCCCGTTCCCTGAGCTTCTGGAAAGTGAGTATTTTCAAGTAACACCACGTCCCTGTAGACAGCAATACTTATTGTAACTGCAGCCAATTATCTTCTTGTCTGCAGTAAATAATGTCATGGCTGATGCTTGCCATGAAGAGGTTTTGCTCCATGTGTGTTGTGGCTCTGTAATTGGTTATGCAGAATTTGTTCAGTTGGAGGGTGAGGAAGGCAATTTGATTTGCTTTAGCTAATTCTGATGTTATGTGCATATTCTTGGTTGCAAAATCTAAAGGACAATCTTGTAATAATTCATTTTGGACTCCGATGTTTCACTGGTGCCAATGGTTTTTGTTAAAGTTTTGGTGGTGTTTTTTTCTGGTTTTTTTTTGTTTTTTTTTTTCTTCTTGGATTCACTGTCTTTTGTATTCTGTAATCTCCTGAAAGCACAATAGCTTGGTAAACCTGTATTGCTGTGTATTGTTCACACATGGTTCTACTGCTGGCGTTTGAGTGTGATGCTGCTTTTGTTAGTGTAATGGCACTTTAAGAAGCGGTTCATAAAGAAATAAAGTCTGAGAGTTTACTGCTCTGCTGGTAACCACTGCACAAGCCAGGACATAAAAGTGGCTGATTTTTAGGTAGCATGTGACATCTAGGTGACAGTTTAATACACTGTGATGCCCAGGTAGGTGTATGGAAGAACCCTGGGAAGAGAGCACACTGGCCAACTTCAGTGTGAAGGAATGAGTGGGGCTGTTGAAACTGGTGAAATGATTGAGATAATGCCACCTTCTGTTTCTCAACCCAGTTAGGGTAGGGCCCTATTGCTTTGATAGCAGTTTCTGCCTAGTTGGTTTCAGAAACTGGAAGCCGCCCATCCTGCTCTCCTTGCTGGAGAGAGGAAGATTGTTCCTTTCCAGAAGCCTGGTGCGTGGTCTGTGTCTGGCCATCACTGATTCTAGCCCTGTGCAGCTCTTGAGTGGTGCTGGGTGAGCAGCTTTTGTTGTGCTTAAACTTGAACTAACTGTGCTTCTGGGGTTAGCTAATGCCCGTGTGTGCTACAGGGAGAAGTGTCTCATGCTGTAGAGCCCCAAAGTCATCCTTGCAGTCTGAGAAGGAATAAACGAGCTGTCTGCTGTACTGAATTATAATGCTGACAAACTATTTTCTGTTTATTTGTGCCATTAGGGGTAGTTGAGCAGAAGAATAACAAATAAAAAAAGTGAGGCCTGCCAATGGAACCTGTCAAATGATAACTTGACTCATTATTCTGTTGTGTCCCCCATGTCTTATTTCCCTGGGTTAGTTTATCTTCAACCTTTTCTTACTCCATTACTATTCAGCATGCTTCTTTTTGCCTACAGCGCTTCCTGGAGATGACCCCCCAATGTAGTATCACTTGATTTACCTTTTGTGTTTCGTAGCAGTATTTAAGAATCCTGTTCACGTATTTACACAGCTGTAAATTACATGATGTAACGGAGCATATTCCTTGTGTATGTGCATCCTGGCTCTGGAAACTGTGGTACTACTTTGTCTGTTAACTTGATAGGGTCTTGTAGGTATCACAAAGCAGTCGTGGTTTATGTACCGCATA